GACTTCGTATTCCTCACTGTTTAATAATCAATGAGAAAGAAACTGATATTTGTTAATTTAATGATCCTACGAAATAAATAAACATGATCATTAACCGATCTGCTTTTGTATATTTTTATCACAAGGCAGTCACTTTTACCAGATACATCTATTAAATTAATTATGTTTTATACACTGTATTTGGGCGAATTCAAACTTTGTTTTGTGCGTGAAGTAAAAATGTTTGGTTTGACCGAACGACCATGGGGCTTCACCAGAGGACGAATCACTTCCGGTTGTCTGTGCGACATCAAAACATTCATTTATCTCATCTGATTTCTAACTAACAGTGAATAGTTACTTTTAATCCTTTCGTAAAATGGACTCGTTGCTCACTTGAAAACACGCAAAGACCATGGCGTAAATCGTAAGTGTAACCGCTTAAACTATTGTGATCTCTTAACCTTCTCATGTTTATATTTTTGCGGAGACAACTCGGATAATTGTCACGTAGGGAGCATCCATTGATAGTATTATTAATATAGGTCTGATTCAGTCATTCTGATTCATTGCATCATTATTACAGTAATTACACTAAAACAGATGCAAGAGACTAATCGTCTTTTCCTTTTCTGTTTATTTTATTATGTTTATGGCAGTAATAATCGCTAAGTAACTTTGTATAGTTTCATATTCATGTAAACAAGAATTTCTAGCAGTGCTAAGTCAAGTGAAGTAAGGAATTTTAATATAGTATTTTAGTATTTTTTATATTTTTATTTGTGAACTCTTTTTGGTTGGGTTGAAAACACTTTTTCTCACATTGTTAATATAGACATAATTAAATATTAATATTAAACCCTAGAGTCCCAGGGGGTTAAGCATCAGAGGCCCAAGGGAACATTTATTTTTATATTTCACAAGTGTAACACATAAAAACAGACCCTACTAATTCAGTCGCCGCGCAACATACACATATTATTATTATACACCAGAGTGACCAAGGATTGTTTAGGATTAATATTAGAACACTGCTACAACAAATAATTCTGTTAGTTAAATATTAGTACATAAACAGACGGCAGGCTATCATCTAAATAACGGTCCCAATTTATCGAGGCTGAAAATATACCCTAACAGGGCCTCAGTCACATGTAAATTGCGGACCTCTTTCAGGCAGCGCTCAAGGAAAACTCAATAAAATACATCCAAATGAATCACAAATGAACATGAACCACTTAGTAATGGATAAATACAATATAAAACCAATCTGTGCATTAGATCTTATTCCAGAGAAACTTTTTCAGCATCATCACAAAGCACCATTATTTAGTAAAGCAGCTATATTTTTAAGTAATAAGGGAAATAGCACTAAAACTAACTGACACTGAAAGAATCACCTTGTTTTTGGGCTAATGTTTATTTTCTTTGTACCAGCTGACTTTGTCATCATTGTACGCTCTACATGAGGTATATATATTTAGGCTATTCCTCATCAATTTGACTTTGTCAGTGACTGAAATAAGTCTGCTTTGCAAATTTCTCCATCTAACTTCCGATAAATCTCATAAACACATGCTTTTCAAACATTTAAGGCTTATAAAGCTGTAAGTCACAGTGGTATGCATGTAGAATACTGCTCGACTGCTATGTTGTTTCAGACACTTAGTAACTCGGTAAATCTCGAAAACGTACTGTATTTTAGGCTTTTAACCACATTTCTATATAAATCTGGGGGTTTTAATTTTGAGGTCACCACAGCTGGATAGAGCTTGTAAAATTCAAACCAACAGTGCATCAGTGAAGCTTGCATGACAGCTTTTAGTGAAGATAATATTATTTAAGTGCTTGACAATATAAGGAAATACATCTGAAAATTACTAATGGGAGCATAATTCGACACCCATAAAATATAATAGCTGAAATAGATTAACAATTATGCATTTTTGTTGTTTTGATGGGAACTTCTTCTATTCTAAGCGCTTATTTCAGTGCTGCAAATATTACTCATGCCCCTCTTCATTTATCTCTATGTTAACTGCAGCTCTCCGGTGGCTAGAGAACAAGATGCATACACATGTCATAATTGTAACAGACTCTGAAGGCATGCTGCGAAAGGTGAAGACAGGGATGCTTGGAGCAGAGTGGCAAGCTTCACTGGGAAGGTCACGGGTAGTGAGCATACTTGAGATCTTTTCTCCAGGCCATGCCGCATGGTGTGTATTAACCAGGCTGACAGAGACAGGCTGGAGAGAATGAGGCACCTGGGTGTAACCAGAGGATCTGGCCGATCACTACACACAGAGGAAAGACAAGATAGAGGTATAACCATATTGTGACCGGTACCATCAGTACTGGAACTCTGCGCTGGCTGCTGAAGATGAGGATGGAGCACCCATGGGAATGCCTCGAGTGCTGTGATTTCCATTCTTAACTCAACTTATCTCTATGGTTGGTCTTCTCTTTCCATTTGGTGACTGCAGTTGTTTGTAAGACTACCTGTATATTACCTTACAACTGTCTTCTTATTTTGACTCATGCTCTACCTACTCCCATTCAGCTCATTTATGTACCTAGTTTTATTTTTGTCTGTTATCAACCATTCACTCATTACTTTAGCAAATTTACATTGTAATCTGAACAGCTAGGCCTAACTGAAATTGTTATACTAGCAGTATGATGTAAAATAAAGACATCAGCATTCAGAATAACTGTTAAATTTACATGAACCGCACTAAATAATCCTCCAGGTTTAAACAGCATGGACAGTATATGTATACTTGATTAAATTGACTAGTGACACATCACAAAAAGTTTGTTGCATATTTTTCTTTACAGGATATCACAAACTAATCCTAGCATGTGTTGGTTGTTCTTGTAAAACCAGTTAGTTTAAAAAATTTTTTGGTGTGGGCTGACATTTCAACCAGCAGGGTTTTCATCATGCAGTAGTTTGTTAGCTGCTTATGTTTCCTGTTAAGATGTTATCTCTGGTGGGTCTTTCGGATCTCTTCAGAAGTTCCTTAACTCTTTAGTCCTAGTTTGTTAGCTGCTTATGTTTCCTGTTAAGATGTTATCTCTGGTGGGTCTTTCGGATCTCTTCAGAAGTTCCTTAACTCTTTAGTCCTAGTGGTTTAGCATCACAGGTCCAAGGTCCTAGCATGTGTTGGTTGTTCTTGTGAAACCAGTTAGTTTAAAAATTTTTTTGGTGTGGGCTGACATTTCAACCAGCAGGGTTTTCATCATGCAGTAGTTTGTTAGCTGCTTATGTTTCCTGTTAAGATGTTATCTCTGGTGGGTCTTTCGGATCTCTTCAGAAGTTCCTTAACTCTTTAGTCCTAGTGGTTTAGCATCACAGGTCCAAGGGACAGTAAAGTGAAACATACAGTCGGCGCAACATGTATTAATTGGGCTTCTAGCCAATGAGTGAATAGTTGATAACAGACAAACAAATACTGGGTACATATATATGAGCTGAATGTAGGAACCTGTGAACATATAATGTGTTCTGAGGGACTCAAAGAGTTAAAATAATCAGTCCACCTATACATCTTCATAGTTAGTGAGAATTTACCAATAACTGTTTATAATCAGTTGATTTGGTTTGACTATATTTTCTTATTTCCCTGTGATGCTGTGAAGGTCTCTGAGGCTCTTCTTTGCTGCAGCTGGCACTGTCACCTCTGCTAGTTAATCAAACTGTTATAATTTTTCCCATATTCTGACTTTTGTGTGTGTGGCTCTGGTTTAGATCTGCTCAAACTCTCTTGCCCTGAGAAGCACAAAACCGGTTTATGCCATGACACCGTAAATGTCTTTTCCCTGGCTTGCTGTAGAGCAGGGTGGTTCAGTTAAGTTTATTAGCGATCACAATATTGACAATACAGATTGCCATGGGCCGGAAGCCAAGCCACAGTGTAGAAAAATCATTAATACAATACAAGTGGCAATTATCTGCAGGCTGTATTCAGCTTATGGGCCACCAGTTGAATAGACCTACTATAGAGGCTTATTTACGAGGATCCCTGCTAAAAGCTTTTAGCTTCCATTTTTTTCCTGCGCTTTTTAGAATGACTGAGAATTAGCTTTGTTAATAAAAATGGCATTGAAGTTGGGGTGTGTGTGTTGGAGGGTGGAATTAGAAATTTACAGAGTTGCTTTCTTGTTGAAACAAAATTTCTTTTTTCTTTTGGTTCCTCATGATGCCCACATTGCTTTATGTTTTCTTGAATATAGAAATACTCCTGACTATGATGTGATTCAATACTGAGAAACAGTTAGTGAAAAGTTTTCTTTTTAATTGATGTTGAGCATTTATAGTTTGATATGCAGTGGTGTTGATCAGTTATGGTTTGATGTGAAGTAATTCAAGCAGTTATGATTTGATGTGAAGCAATGTCAAGCAGTTATGATTTGATGTGAAGTAATGTCGAGCAGTAATGATTTGATGTGAAGTGATGTCTAGCAGTTAAGGCTTGATGTGTAGTGGTGTTAAGCACTTTTGGTTTCATGTGCTTTGAGGATCATCTGTCAAATAACAAACTATTTGTATTATTGTGCTGAGTAATCATATAATATTTATTTTCTTCGTATGGCTGTCTCTTCACTGAAGGTTGTAGTGCCCATCAACCTGTCTTTGGGAATATTACATATTGAGGCCACAGTCTTTTTCACATTGTGATTCATGTCTGGAAGCCATAAGAACAGTCTTTTTTCTTACAAGGTGGCTGTTGAGAGTAAAGACTGTAACACAAAGCACTAACTCTGTAGCTCCATTGACAGTTCCAACAGTATTCAGGAAAAAGAATTCCATTTGTGAACCCGAACAGTGTAGTCTGAGAAATGAACCCCAGACTTTCAGAATGGGAGGCTTTACTCTGTAAATCCCTGCCAGTCAGAGGAAAGATGTTAATAGAAATACATGGCTGGTCTTGCTTGTTTGGTTGAATAAAATATTTTTAATTTTAATCTTTTTAAGCAAGATTTATCAATCACTGTGGTGTCCACACGTTAGAGGAAACATGTCTCAAAGCCGTTTGCAGCAAGATGAAGATAGGTAAGACCATCTTTAGTCTGGCTGTCACCCTGTCTTATTATTTAATGACCAGTATATGCATGGGAGGTTGAGTGGTGTAGCAGCTAGATGCTCACCTGTGGATCCATGGTCAAGGATTTGAGTCAGAATTTTCTCCACAAATTACTTTGGCGCCCAGAGGGTACCATGGAAAGTCCTGGGAAATAAAGGCGGCTGGCATGATGTTGACCACCAAGTGCTGATTGGTCTATAAAATGTGCTGATTGGTCTATAAAATGTGCTGATTGGTCTATAAAATGTGCTGATTGGTCTATAAAATGTGCTGATTGGTCTATAAAATATAGGTCGAGCACAGTATGCCCTGAAGGCCTCTTTTGTCTTCTCCGCTTTTTTACACAGCCTTAGTATTTTAGTATGCAAAGCACTAACTGTCGACAGCAGTAGAGGTTCAATCCCAAGTTTATATGTAATTTTATCCCCACTTCAGGTGACTTGGGGTCAATACAAAACCAGTAAAGGTACCTGACAAGGTTATTCTTAACAATAGTATTATGACATTGATAAGTAAGAGAAATTGAATAGCAAGAAATGAGATGCACACCACGCACATCAGAGGACTTGTTAATCAGTGTAGAACTGGTGCTTTTAGCTGGTCATCTAGATTTGGTGGAACAAGAGAAATGACCTGACTGACTGGGATGGCAGACAGTAGTCGCCAAAGTTTATCAGCATGGCACAGGATTGTGATGAGTGTATGAAACTTTCAAGCATGACACGCCCATGATGGTAAAAGCTGCTACAGAATATATTATTCTTGTGTACTCTGTGTGAAACATTTTAAAACTAGTCTGTAAAGCTGAATTACAGGGGTACCTTGGTATATGTCCACTTTGTAATAAGTCCAACTTGGCATATTTTCTGTTCAGATGCAAAATGTTTTGTTTGCAAGACGTTTCGCGTGCTAGAAACTTTGAGCCTCAATAAGGTCCAAGTAGGGAAAAGAGTCAGAAAAAGAAAAAAAAACATCCACCGAAATTTCAGATTCCTGAAGTTTTATTAAAAAAGGAGCTTTCGTTCCAAACAATATCTCCTTCTCAGCTCATCATGAAGGTAAAATGATCCTAAATTTCCATTTATTTAATCATATCACTGTTGTTTTTATGTAGTTTATTATTCAGCAGTGTTTAAATTATTTTATACAACACCATCAATGTGTAATATGCCAATAACAATATGAATTTTAGCCTGGGAATAGATTTATCATTTTTGTAAAATTTCTTTTGTGAAAATTCATTTGGTATGCATTCTTTTTTGGTATAAGTCCAAGAATCAGGAATGGATTAAGGACATAGCAAGGTACCACTGGATTTCATTTATCAGAGCTCAACACATTTTTTTTTCTATTCATTATTTAGATATAATTGTTTCTGTGTCTCTGTTGCGTGATGTAACAGGCGATCATGTTGGGTCTGTTTTGCTACTGAAGAAGATGACCGCACTGCAGCGTGGGTGAGGCCATGTCGCTGTAGAGGTACAACAAAATGGGTTCATCAAACTTGCCTGCAAAGATGGGTGGATGAAAAACAAAAAGGCAACAGCACTGTTAAAGTTGCATGTCCCCAGTGTAATACAGAATACTTGATTTTGTTTCCAAAACTAGGTATGTGATTTTTGTTTAATGATTCTTTTGGTTTAAGTATAAATCTAGCTTTCACCTGTTGTCTTTTTAAAACCTGTGTATATCTATAACAAGTTTTTATGGATATACTTTGAAAACTTGTCTGTAAATTTTTTTTAAAATTAAAGATGCAAATATAATTTTTTTAGAATCCTCATTTTTGATGGGCTTTTTTTAAAACTGTATCCCTGTCTCTTTTCCCCTCCCCCCCCCCCCCCCCCACCCCCCCACCCCAGGTCTACTCTACTCTTTTGACACACATTGGTATTTTGTTTTGTGTATACACACAAATAGTAATAAAATAATAAAAAGGAGGTGACCCTTTCACCACCTTCAGGCGTATTGTGCATACAGGGCTAGACCACTCAATGAGTAGTGTGGTCAACATCACGCTGGCCACCTTTACTTCCCAGCACTTTACCTAATACTCATTTAAGGCTGGGTCAACCATGGAGCCAAGGTCATTTTTGAAAAAAAAATTCAGACTGAATTAAAAATAAAAAAACAATTATAAATTCTGTCATATTTCTGTCTCTTTGCTGTGGCTTATACACTGTGCTGAAATACAGAGAGTAACTTGGAAGATGTGGGGTCACAGTAGTGCAGTGATTAACGTGCTTGCTTGGCAGCCCAAATGTCAAAAGCATGAATGCACATCAAAGCTGTTTAAAAAAAAATTAATTTATGTGGGCTTTCAGCCTGAGGATACCAGAAAATGTCCTGGGAAGTAAAGGTGGCTGGCATGATATTGACCAGATGAAAACAGTCATATACGACTAGCACCATATGCCCTGTACTTGACCCTGACAGTTGTGGAAACTTTCTGTGTTTCGTAATTTTTGTAATGTTCAGGGTCATAATGCTTTAAAAAAATTTGAGCGATTAAACAGAAATATTGGAAAAGGCTCATAGATACAAAACTAATAAATATATCAGAAACAAAATATACAGATTTGTGGGAAATCAAGAGCCTCTCTTGGCAGTGTTGAAACTTTGCAAGTTAGCTTGGTTTGGGCACGTGGTGAGACATGATTCGATCGCAAAGACTGTACTTCAAGGAACATTGGGGTGGGGGGGTAGTAAAAGAAGAGGAGGGCAGAGAAGAACCTGAAATGACAACATCAAGAAATTGATGGGACTAAGTTATCATCCACTTATTCATCAAGCGGAAGACAGAGAAAGATGGTGGGTTTTATGTGCTAGTGCTTCCATCAATACAACTCCACCACCCTGATGGGTCAAGGGTTATGTTATGTTAAAGACACTGAGGGAAGGGGCCAGATGTTTGAGAAAAGCGGGAGAACCTAAACTGCCTAGGGTTGGTCGCAATTGGAGACACAGAGATCTACAAATGAAAATACTAGAGAACAAAATCTGGGGGGAAAAGAACAGGGCATGTTCAAAATGAATTCAAGAGGAGTGAAGGAATAAAAGAAATGTCTGGGCAACTACTGGTATCAACAAATATAAGACAGAGAAAAGGGCGCTTTATTGGACACATTATGAGAAGAGACAAACAGGCATTGAAATAAGAAACAGATGAATTGAGGAAACGAGAATGTCCAAGAGAAACCATAAAGTAAATGTTGAAGAAAGAAAGCAATGATACTGAGCTGGATTCCATCCATGATATCGAAATGATTGCACAGGATAGAACAGCATGGAGGAATTGACTGCAAGCCTACAAGACATATAATGGCACAGTCGGACAATCAAAGACTGATGTGCAAGAAACATGACACAAGCACGTAAATAAAATGAGGTTTATGGACACACTGAGCTGAAGAGAATCACAGACAAGCTGAATGGGAAGAGATAACTTCAGGCTATTGCCTCACAGGCTCAAGTGGACAGCGCAACAGACGTGTCTATATCTCGAAAGAGAGATTCACTGGTTCTGACCGGTTTTCAACACTGAGGGGAAAACAGATAGACTTTTAATCATGTTTCATCTGCTGCTTTTAACATGGGAACTCTTTGTTGACTGGCTCCTGTAAAAGACAGATTTGTATGGGAATGTCCCGAATTCAGTTCTTCATTTATTCATTCTTTCTGGCTAAGCATCAAAAGGATGATGATTAATAGATTAAAATATATATCGTCCTGTAGATTCCAAGGCCCCGTTCTTGAGGGTAGGAAGAAGAATTGACCCACTGCCTCCCTAACAGGCATCGCATGCAAAGCGACTAATTAGGGGAGTTTTTTCGAAGTCAGAGTGCATCTACCTGAGAGGCGAGGAACCAGCTGTCTGCATACAAATAAGCCAGATGTGTAAAACAGATGTGCAGACAAAATTTCATTCTGAAACAAGACCAGAAATGGATGAACAAGCATGACTTTCCACCAGAGTTTACGGTGAGTGAGAAGAAGAAAAAGAAAACAGTATTGATAATCATTGAATGTGATTGAGATCATTGTTTACACATAATTGTCTTCTCAGGTCCTGTTGTATACGTAATGGATATCATAGACAGAGTGATCTACAAGATGTGTCCATTCGTCGCTGGCGGTATATTTATTGGCACTGTGTACTGGACCATGGTTACCTATGGTGCAGTCACAGTAATGCAGGTCAGTCTTTTCAGATACGACCAGTCGTCGTCATCTGTTTACTTGTTTTCTGTCAACCATTTCAGAATTCAGCAAATCCTTTTTACAGCTTGCTTGCTAGCTGGTGGGTAGTTCGTCTGTTATTCTTTCCTCCAAAATGGGGCTCTGGAGCCCACACGGGGATGGTTGAAATCAGTATGAAGACAGTAGCTCCAGGGGTTTCTTCAGACAGATTTGAAGTCAGACTGTGCCCTGCCCTGCCCTAAACTTTGGGCAATGGAATGAATTTTTGGTCTTCTTGGATAAGGCTAGACCATATACAGGTAAAGTAAATGCAATCAGCATCCTCATGAGGAAGTATGAAGATTTTTTCAAAGATGCCGATAGTAAAGTCTTGATATTTTTTCAAGTAAAAATAAAGGGTCATTGTCCACATCATATGGCATTATGACTTATTATCCCCATATGTGTCCCATTGGGGTGAGTTGGGGCAGGGGGAGACCCATTAAGGGTGTTTCTTTCTAGGTCTGAGAGACGAGGAACCAACAGTCTGCATGCAAATAAGCCAGATCTGTAAAATGGATGTGCACAAGTTCTGAAAGAAGACTAAAGTCCAGTAGTGGACAGATAAACAGGACTTTTCCTCAGAGTTTACTACTGGTGAACGCAAATAAAAAGAAAAAGATATGGTACTTTTGGTATATGATGCTAGTTCCATATTTTCGTAGACCAGTCGGCACTCATTGTTTTAGGGAATCATTATCATGCTGATGCGTTTGCTTCCTAGAATATTTCCTATAGGCTAGTCAGTATCGGTGCCCAAGTCTTCTTCCTCTTCTTCACTCCATCTCATACTGTTTTGGGTGCCAAAGGAGATGCAGGGTTCTGGGTGCCTTGATCATAGACACATCATATACACCCGTTTTTTTTTCTTTTCTTTTTTTTAAGTTAGATGTCTGTTTCTCACATAAATTCACATTGTTATCTGTTTAAAATCTAACTTGCTTATCATGCATACCATAATTATCTGTTTAAAATCTTACTTGCTTATCTTTCGTACCGTGTTTAACTGTTTCAAATCTGACTTGCTAATCTAGTATAGAAATAAATTAGCATAAACTTTGACTAGGAAGCTCAATAAAGAGAATGGAAGAGAAAGGAAGTGCACAGTTACTGTGAGCTTTTTGACCAAAATCTTTATTAACAAATAAAATACAAATTCTTCATCATAACACCAGTTGAAAAAGTCACATATGGAAAGAGACAAAAGGGGAAAAACCTATTAGTAGATAAAAAACACTAGTTGAAAGCTGTTGTTAACGTGCATGTCGTTTTATGTCCTTTTGTTGAAAATCCTAGTATTACTTTGTGTTGTCTTGTTTTGGTTTTTTCCACGTTGCTAACAAAATGTAGTGCTTTATCCTACCCCAAACGGGAAATCCACAGGTCACCAGACATACTAATATTTCAGGGGGTGGTAGATAAGCTGCATGCAATCATGGGACCTAGGCTGCATGCAGTCATGGGACCTAGGCTGCTTGCAATCATGGGACCTAGGCTGTACTCTCTCGTTGGACATAGGTGCGTTGGGGTTAGGGCCAGTTCTAGATGTTTTGGGGTCGTTAAAAGCATCAGCAAGCTGGAAAACAGTCTTACCACCTTTTTAAAATGTTTAACTGTCCTGTGATGTCATCTGGGGTAGGATATTAATAAAGCACCCCAAATAAAAAAAATAAAAAACTACCAGCTTCACTGCTGTGCAGATATATTTAATTTTAATTGTGTTAATTGTATAATTTTTGTTTGTTATGAAAGGTGTTGGGCCATAAAGAAGGCCTGAATGTAATGGAACAGGCTGACCCTTTATTTTTGCTAATTGGCCTTCCAACAATACCCTTGATGTTGATCCTGGGCAAGATGGTTCGATGGGAAGACTACGTGCTTCGCTTGTGGCGCAAACATTCCTCAAAATTACCACTTATCAACTACTTGTTTCCAGATGGTGAGTGCATTGTTGATTTTGCATGATCTGTGATTCCTGTATTTGTGCCTCCTATTTGTTATGGCGTTCTGTTCAATGTTGTAAGTAAATAATGGTTTTTTTTTTACACCGTTGGAGCACCTAGCAGCGTATGATGCTAGATTTTTAGACCTATTGACACTCAATGAGTGATGTGTTCAACATTACCACAGCCATCTTTACTCCTAAGGACGTTTCCTGGTGGCCATTTTTAGGCTGGGTAGACCTAGGGTACAATTTAAATTAGTTAAAACCTTGAACTGTCTGAAAAAACAAAAGGAATATTAATCCCTTTACCCCAGTGACACTAAAAAACAAAATAAGTCATGACCCCCATTAGAATTCCAGAAAAATTTTATTAAAAATACCTTAGTCTCAAATAAATTTGGTAAAAAAAATTTTTTTTCTAAAAATATAAATATATATGAATGGAGTAATTAATAAACATGGGCAGGGTGAAGCATTAAATGGATTCATCCTCCAGGGCAAAAAATAACATCACATGTATCGGGAAACTCCTGCCATGATTCTCATCACTCTGTCACTGAGGCTTACAGGAAAACGCTGATGTTGGCTTTTAAAACGTCATTTAGCTGAAAGAAACAAGACCCCACTTCCCCAACCCCCCATGCTGTTGTTAGTTAATGTATTCATGTCCTGACCGCCTAAACATATGTGCAGGTGTCAAAACAGCCAATATCATTGACTATGTGACGTCCGTGGCTTATGCGTTGCGAGTCCGACTCGTAATCCAACGTACCATGATCGAAATCCATTGCTGGCTGCAAAGATTTTTATTGTTGTATGGGGCGTCACAGGTCGACCCAGCCTAAAATGGGTACCAGGATGGCTGTCCTGGGGAAGTAAAGACGGCAGACGTAATGCTGACAACATTACCCATCCAGTGCCGATTGGTCTGTAAAAATATGGGACGCTCTGTCCATATATCCGATGCGCCTTAGGCGTAATAAAAGGGATCTTTACTTACTTTACTATGCATCTTCTAAGCATGTCACTATAGACATGTTGAAAAAATTATATTAGTGAGGAATATGACCAGTGCCAGAGACAGATTACTGAGGGATTTTTAATGCTCCCAAAATTATTTTGTTATTGCTGACTTCTTTGAAAGATAGTTGTTCTTTGCATCTAAATTATGAGTTCAGTCAATTCTGTTTCATAATGTCTCTGTATAACCTCTTCTGACATAAAAATGTTTGCTTTAAACACAGTTTCTTGCATATAAGGATTTAAAACAACAGCTGCATGAACTGAAAGAGTTAAAATCAATTATTGATCTAACAATTTTACTGAACACATATGACAGTCTGGGCATAGGTGTTTTTGTTTGAAATCCAGAAACCATGAGTTGTAAACCCTGTGCCTCGGTACTATGGATATCACAACTCTTCGGCCTTGATTTTATGATAAATACTGTAAATCTGGGAAATATTTGGCTTTTCTGCCTACTTCCGAGCGTGAACTCGAACCACAAGGAGTCTGTCACCCGGTCGCGGTGCAGGCTGGTTTAACCAGCTTAGATAGCACTCATTGTTATTCTCCACCTTCTTCTTCCTCTTCTTCTTCTGGATTTTATCTTTCAGACGAGCATAGGTTCTCAACGGACTCATGTAAAGTCCTTTGTGTAATTATCTATGATTGCTTGTCTTCTTCTTCTTCTTCTTCGCGTTCACCAGCTGTAAACTCTGGCGGAAGGTTCTGGTTGCTCGTCTACTACTGAACTGCAGTCCTGCTCCAGAACCTGAGTGTTGCGTGTGCATCAGTTTTACAGATCTCATTCTCTTGAATACAGACTGTTGGTTCCTTGCCTCTCCGGCAGACGCACTCCGTCTTCAAAGGAAGCTCCCCAATTAGTTGACTCTTACAACATGCTTTTGGGGAGGCAGTGGGTCTATTCTTGTTTTCCCCACAATGGGGCCCTGGAACCCACACAGGGGTGATTGCTTGTATTTGTAATGTTTTCAGCCAGTACCACACCGACTCTAATTTTTTGCTCATCTTACGGGTCCCTAAAACTGGTGAACATGTGGCATATTTTATTTGCTTACTTCTTTTTTTTAAGAGAAATAGTTTTAAATGTGACAAAAATTAAGGTAATGTGGCATGCTCGTGTATTGAAGCAGAATTTACACAGTAAATGAAATAGTTACTCTGTACTTCATACACAGGTGCACATGTGTTTTAAAATAATTTAATTAAAAACCACCAGCTTTAGCATAAACCTACTGTCATGTCATTAAAAAAAAATAATATTCTACACACAAGGCTCCATTGGCAAAAAGTTAAATTTGGGCAGGGCAGTAAATATTAATTTGTGAAATAAATATTAATTTAATAAACGAAAACAAATATTTAAAAAAAATTTTAAAATTAATAAAACATCCATTCTACAAAGAAATGCAAATTATGAGGTTTTTTTTATAACTGCAGCAGCAGATTTTCTGTCCTTGGATTCTGAGTTTTTACCCTATGCTAAGTCTTTTTTTCTAAAACCAATTGTTTTTTGTGTGTCTTTTGACATTATTTAATGGTTTCTGACATTATAAGAAGGAAAAGCAGTTAGCGAGTTTGTACTTTTAACAATTATTTTGTCAAGTACATATTTTATTAATTTCTTTTTATCTATGTTTAAATATAGACTTAAATAAACACCTTCTATTTGGTATTTTTTTAATGCTTGCGCATTCTCACTCAGTGGAAAACAACGCCATCACGAGATCCCCACACTCCTTCCTCCCCTTTCTGTTGTTATTTGCACTGCCAAGGACACCGGAGATGCCAAGTAGTAGTATCGTTCGGATACTTTCTGCAGGTGTATCGGGAAATGAACAGGGAAACTGCTGGTTCTGTGCCGCTTTGTGGTAAATTGATACATGATAAGCTAAAAGGTGTCGGGGCCCTTAGTAGGTCAGGGAACAGTGCGGCAGGCACAAATAGCCATTGTGAACTCAGGAGTATGATGTAGTGGGGGGCGATCAACGGATCTTACCACTTAGGGAAAAGGTAAAAAGGACATACAGGTTGCTGCATGGTATCAGGGGGCCGTCAGCAGAAAGATGGGTACAGGATATAAGAGACAACTTGGTTAGGAAAGTTCACAAGATTTGACGAAAGACTGAGTTTTTGTCAGGCTGTGATGAGAGCAGTATACACGTTTGTATGTGTATGTGAGTACATATCTCAGTTGGTAAAACATACGTTGGTCTCCCCATTCTACACACCGGTACACACTAGCTCACTTCTGATTGGTCGGCCTTGAGACACCTGACTTCACACAAGGTCAGGGGGTGTTCCCCAATGCGGCTGATATCGCTTGTTCTATATTTCACTATGCCAGCGCTTCTAACACTACAAAAACATTTAGAAACTGGGTCTATCACACAACACCCCTAGAGAGTGCTGCAACCTATGTCACAGGCAGCCTCTTTCTTGGAATAAAAAGGTAAATCCAAGACAACAACAGAGCGCCACACCCATAACCTCACTGACCTATTTGAAAAACTGGTGAACGTGGAATGTTTAATTAAGAATCTACACCATAGCACTCGGGACACTCCCACGTCCCCATCTTCAGCAGCGAACGAAAAGTTCTAAATCCGATGGTACCAGTAACTGTCTGATTGTGTATCCGTCTCACCTTTCCCTTGAGTATTGAACATCGGCCGGATCTCCTGGTAACTCCTCGCAGTGCCATTCTCCCCAGGCCTAATGATCTGTTTGCGCTTTCACACTGTTCACTTGCTCCCAAAAGGGCGCTCACAACATCTAGCTTGAAAAACTGGTGAACAGACAGTTAGTTCCGGCACAATCCAGAAATATGCTCACGCAGTAAATATATATGACAGTTGCTAGAGACACAAAAGCTAACAGTCGCCATAAGAAATTCAGTAGTCGGGAACGATAAGTTGTCTATACACACATAAGGTATTTTACCAGCTCATATGTAAACCGGCTACCGGTCATTTGCATAGCACAACACAACTACTATGCAGATGAAAGACATTCCACATGAAAAACACAGTGTGTGTGTGTGTGTGTGTATATGTACCTTGTTTATAACCTTGATGGTTTGGCTACATTGATGAGGATGAGACAAGAACACTGACCTGATTAGTGATTCTGTTGATCTTATGAGAATACAAACAATCGCATAGCACATGATGTATGCATGCAGTACACATACTTACTTATCTGCCCACCTACTTACTTCCCCACCTGCCTATTATACCTGTCTACCTTCCTACTTACCCCCTAATACCTACTTACTTCCTACCTACCTATAATACCTGTCTACCTACCTACTTACCCCATACCTAATACCTACTTACTTCCCTACCTACCTATAATATCTGTCTACCTACCTACTTACCCCCTACCTAATACCTACTTACTTCCCTACCCACCTATAATACATGTCTACCTACCTACTTACCCCCTACCTAATACCTACATTTTCCCCTACCTACCTACTTACCCCCTACCTACCTGCCTGCTGACTTACAACTACCTACCTGCCTACTTACCCTCTACCTACCTACCTACGCCTACCTACCTACCTACACCTACTTACCTACCTGCCTACTTACCCCCTACCTGCCTACTTACCCCTTACCTACATACACACCTAACTGCCTACATACATACACACACATACATACACACACGCGCGCACTTACAAACATACATTAACCTCGCAGCCACACACATACACACCAACCTGGGTCTTGTAAATGTTGTTTTGCATTATTCATTTTTTTTTCTAAATCTTGGGAGTGTTGTACGCAAGGACTGACAACAGCTGGCAAGCGATGCTGTGCAGCAAATGTATGCCTGTTTCCCCAACATGAGACCTTTCCCGCCTCACTGTGGAGGTTTTCTTCCTACACATGTTACCTTTAAGGGCTGTGTCTTGACGAATACTATCTCAGTTATCTCTGTTCATGGGCGCCGCTACAAAAATA